ACCGTTTTACATGTGAAATTTTTTATGTAATTATAGCAACAAATAATGCGAAGCGCAAGTCCGACCAGGGATATTTAAAGTATGGATTTACATATATTGACGACAAAAAAAAGACTTTAAGCCTCGGTGTGTCATAAGTAGCGAGGTGCTCTCACAAGAGAGCACGAAACCTTCTAAATTAAAACGACATTTAGAAACCAGACAACATGTTTTATTAACAGTTCAGTTTAGTTCATGGTAACTAAACCTTTCCGTACCCTAACCTTTTTTTACAGTATTTGTCGTTTTTACTTTGTAATATTTCTAAGTTTTTTATATATTTCGTTAAATGACAGCAATAAAATATTGTTTATTTGTATGTCTTGGTGATTTTCTTATGATTTATCTGTCACTACTTGTGTATGTTAACAAATAAATACATATTAATTATAATTCCTAAAGTTGTATTATAGTTCCTAAAAATTTGGGTCGCGGCTTGATGACCCTGTAAAAATGTGGGTCCCATGACCAAACCAGTTGAGAACCCCTGTTTAAAGGGACTGTTTGATACGGATTAATTAATCATTTTTACTGTTCGATTAACGCAAACTGCACAACAGCTGCACCTTCAGCAAACCTCCTAATTCCTGCAGCACGAGGACTTTATGATTGTTAATGAGCGCCAAAAGTGGCTGATCTGTTCGGTGAAATATTTGACTGTGTGTCACTGCATATTAAACGACTACAGCGATATAACTAAAGAAATGTCCACTGTGCTGAGCGAAAGCGCTAACTGAACAGTGCAGCATCGATGATGTAAGCGTGCCCAGGCCCGAATGTAATGTGAGTGCGGGCTGTCGGGGGAGACGGGAGGGGGGACAAGTGTGCTTTGGTCCGTTTCAAGGCAACTGTACATAGTGTGAGGATGCCCTTAATCCCTTTATTAATCAGGGGTCGCCACAGCGGAATGAACCACCAACTTGTCCAGCACCTGTTTTACGCAACGGATGCCCTTCCAGCCACAACCCATCACTGGGAAATAAGTTACGTAAAAATTAAGTTATAGTAAAAATTAAGTTTATTCAGTTTAACAGTTCAAAGTTACAATGTTTTTGTTTTTTTTAACATTTTTACAGTGCATCGGAAACGTATTCATAGCGCTTCACTTTTTTCACTTTTTTTTATTACAGCTTTATTCCAAAATGGATTAAATTCATGTATTTCCTCAGAATTTTACACACAATACCCTATAATGACAATGTGCAAATAGAGTTTTTGAAATTGTTGCAAATTTATTAAAAATAAAAACCCTGATAAATCACATGTACATCAGTATTCACAGCTTTTGCCGTGAAGCTCTAAATTGAGCTCAGGTACACTCTGTTTCCACTGATCATTCTTGAGATGTTTCAGCAGCTTCATTGGAGTTCACCTGTGGTCAATTCATTGTATGAAGAATTTTGAGAAAATAAATTAATTTAATCCATTTTGGAATAAGGCTGTAGCATAAAAAAATGTGGAAAAAGTGAAGCGCTCTAAATTATTTCTGGATGCACTGTAAGTATATTCGACTTGTAGTCAATGGGTTTACTTGCTTTTTTTAGGTTAAGTAACAAATTGCTTTTTAAATTGTACGTAAACATGAGAAAGAAAGTTTTGAGTTTTTAAATCAAACAATTTTATTCTAAATATTAAGAACTTTCCTTGATATCCACCTTTTTAAACCCCTACTGACTGACTGCATTATACATGAATGCTATACAAATATACTCTATTTGTTATTGTCCCCCTGATTATCATGAAGCAGTTCTGTTCACTTTTATTACTGTGTTGCTGTTTCAGGCACTGAATGAGATTTCTGAGATTGCGGATCCTGCCATTTACCCTGAAGAAGAGAAAAGTAGTGGCAGCTTACTCAGGTAGAGTATTAGCTTGAGTAGAATTGAGCCTTAGACGTTCTCAGAAGAAATGAAAACCTTGACACAACCTGAACAGGAATGTGACTTTATAATGTAAAATATCTCTATTTAATTTTAAGTAGCATTTTTGGATTAGTGTTTGCTCGTGGCCAAGGTGAGATACAGTACATGCCTATGATCTTCTTGTCTTTAGAAGTAGCTTGGGTTCTTTGCTAAAAAAAATGTCTTGCTTTTATCTGCTGCTAAACTCCCTTGAGTCCAGGTTATTGATCTAATGTCCATTTATCGTTGTCCTTTACAAAGATCTGGTCAGCATTGTTTCAGTTACTGCAAATAAGCTTCGGTGTCTTTCCTGACTGCCCCACCTTGAACCTTAATGGATCAATCAATTTCGCCCTTGTTTGAGTGTAGGTTAGCGACTATGTTTAGACTGTGCTTTTGTTGCCATTTCTGCTACCTCTCAGGGCAATGATGAATCGAAAGAACCAGTGTTATCTCAGTAAGCCAAAGATTACATTTCTCAGCAACAAAGGACAGATTACTTAATCAGTGCATTGGTATTGTTCTAATACAGGGGTGTCAAACTCAATTCCTGGAGGGCCGAGGCCCTGCACAGTTTAGTTCCAACCCTGCTCCAACACACTTACCTGTAGGTTTCAAACAAGCCTGAAGGACTCAATTAGTTTGATCAGGTGTGTTTAATTAGGGTTGGAACTAAACTGTGCAGAGCTGCGGCCCTTTTGGAACTGAGTTTGACACCTGTGTTTTAATAGATACTTACCCTTTGGGGCTATCACATTAAAAGCTGTGTGCTGACTAGCTGTACTATATTCCCCAGTTCCAGAGTCTTACAGTCCCAGGGTTTTTATTTTCTTATATTAAGGGTTTCATATTTCTAGAGTTTTTAAATTTTTTTGTTCCCCAGAATCCAGGTCTGATGTTCCCAGTGTCCCGTGTTCTAAGGGTTCTATGTTCCCATTTTCAGGGATCTTTTTAGTTTCAGGGCTATATATTCTTCTCTTTTCAGGGTTCTATATTTATATCGTTCTCTGTTCCCGTGTTCCTAGTGTCTAACATTCCTATGTGTCTATGACCATATGGAATACTGGGAACAAAAAAAAAAACTTTAAAATATTGAACAATGGAAAAGGATAATAAATAGCCCTGGGACTATAAGATCTTGGGAACATCTTTTTTTCCCAAGTCCTATCCTATATATCACAGGGCTGTAAATTCACCTGTTTCCAGGATTACATAATTCTAGGGTTCTTTGTTCTCGTATACCAAGGTCTCATAATCCTAGTGTCCCATGTTCCAATGGTTCTATGTTCTCTAGTTCTTAAAATCTTACAGTCCCAGGGCTGTATATTCTCCTGTTTTCAGGGTTTCATATTTCTAGTGGACCTTGTTCACCATATACCTGGTTCTCCTGTTGGTGGCATCCCATTTTCTTGTGATTCTGTGTTTCCAAGTTTCAAAAGTTTTACGTTTCCTTATTAAAGTAATTATGGAAACATATGATTAACCCTAGGAACATGGAGACATGTAGAGTGCTGCAAAAACTTGATTTATTTTGTGTGAGCACCTTTCTACCAATTGCTAGTAAAGCCTAATGACTTGCATCAAGCTAAGTAAAAAACTATTCTCAGGTGATAAACCAGAGTCAGGAGTAGTGTCAGAAACTGTAATTTAACTTAAACTCTTTTTATTTTTGCAGGGCAAAGTCAGTCTGCTCCATGAGCGACTTCCAACGTTTAATGGACAGCTCTCCCTTTCTACCAGACAAAAGTAAGACTGGTGAGCATGGGCGGGATGATGTGACCCCTCCTCTTTCTCCAGACGACCTCAAGTACATTGAGGAGTTTAATAGTAAGGGTTGGGATCTGCCCACCAGCTCTCTAGCCACTTGCCCCATTCCTGGCCCAGTAATCCCCTCTCCGGTGATGGAGGCCTGGGCGGAGAGAGCAGAATCCCGAAGGGCAGATTCTACTTCAGAAGCATTCCAGCAAGCCTCTTGGTTCTTGACCACCAGCGCTACCTTGACCACCAACACCATGAGTAGCCCTGAGTACTGCCAAAAGGTCCAACTCAGGGCAGCTCAGGGCAGTGACCAGTTTGGGGTGCATGTTCTTCACAGTCCGTCTCGAGGGGAACGATCCGCTCCGAGTCCTTCTGAGCAGGAATACATGTTCTCCAAAGTGACCAAAGTGAAGGCAGGGGAAGTAGTAGGGGGTGCAGAAGAAGTATTTGGAGGAAAATGGCCGTGTGAGGTTGGGAGTCATTTGGAGGCAGGACTTAGGCCTGGTGAGCGTCCATCAATTTGTGCTGCAGTCGGCTATACCTCATCACTAGAGCTGGAGCTGTCACGCAATCTGAGCGATGATATGAAGGAGAAGGCATATTCCGCCCGCAATGCAATCCGATCATCTACTACCACTGGATCCAGCCCTCCGGAAAGGCAGCTACGGGACATGGCATGCCAGACGAATGGTCTGACCTCACGAGGAACACAGACCACTCAGACTATCAGTGTGGGACTGCAAACTGAGGCTCTTCGCACCCTCACGAGCAGCCCGCATCGCTGTCTTACCCCCAAAGGAGGAGGCTCTACTCCCATCTCATCCCCTTCACGTAGCCTAAGAAAGATGCAGTACTCTCCAGTCGTCCAAGCCAAGTTTGAACGGCCATGCTGTTCTCCAAAATACGGCTCACCCAAGCTTCAAAGGAAACCTTCTAATGCTAGTAAAACAGAACAGCCTGTCAGCCAAACCCGTGCTCCCACCCCAACAACTCCTGTCCAGCAGCAAAAAGGCAATAACGAATCCGCTTGGGCTCGTTCTACGACCACCAGAGATAGCCCCGTTCACACCACCATCAACGACGGCCTCTCCAGCCTCTTCAACATCATCGACCACACGCCCATCGCCTACGACCCCATGCAGAAGTTCAACAAATCCCCAAGCCGCTCTCGTCCTACCGAATCAGGGCCAACCGAGCCCAAATCTCCCAGTGTTAGTGCTGCACAGGGGCCTTTGAGGAACTCTCGGGGCCGGTCCCCAAGCCCTGTGCAGCTGATTGTAGAGACGCAGGGCGAGAAAACTCCAGAGGTGATTAGCATCAGACAGGACCTGTCTGCTCCTCCGGGCTACACGTTAGCAGAGAACGCAGCACGGATATTGAATAAGAAACTACTGGAGCAGAGCTTCAGGGAGGAAAGGAGGCTTTCTGCTTCATCCGCAGCTGTCCCGAACAGAACCGGAGACTCAGAGAAACCCGGATGTCTTGAGGTAACTGAGAACTTTATTTCTTTCTCATATTTCTCAGAGGTGTCTCTTTTGTAGCTCAGGAGACCTGATATCACAAATGACCTTAATTACTTTCCTAATACAAGTTCCAGTGCCTGGCTGCATTAAGGGGTAATTTCCCCTCACCTAAGAGATTAATTTAAAGGTGCTGCTCATAATCCCTTAAAAGGGAATCTTTAGGTAAGGGAAACCAATAAATGTTTCTTGACATCAACGCAGATTATTATTAGACACTCTACTCATATTTTAACCCAGTCGCAGTTTTACAGAAAATCTCTGTCCACTGGACACAAACAGCAATAAAGACTCATCGTAACTCATCATAAGCAGTGATTTCATACACACTATGTAGATTTGAATATTGCTGTTCACAAAAGACAAAACAAAGACGCCGTCGCTTATGCCACTTTATAGTTATATTAATAGCAACTCAGGCTCATTCTGAAAACGTAATCCCATAGACGTTGCTGGAGACCGTGAAATACGTCCTGGGAGGTACGTATGGCTGCATTTCATTTTTTTAAGCGAATGCTACGGAGCGGTGTGACGCCGTTCTCTTTCGCGCTTACTGGCTGACCGCTTACCTCCGTTTGGAGGGCTTTCCCGCTGCAACCAGTTTGTTCAGTCAGCTCATCGTGTGTGTCGGCAGACTTGAGATGCAGAGAGGAGGAGTTGACCACGGTGACCGGGTTCGAATCCGGGGAAGAGCGCTACCAGAAATCAGGTAAGAAAAAAACAGAATCCAAAAAATAAAGTGAACAAGTTCACAACAGGATGAGAACGTGGAGAAATCCGAAAAGGTGGTAAAGAAATCAGACGAGGGCTTTCCTTTTTTTAGACGGCTTTTCTAAATTGTTGCTCGGGTTTAGGGAAGTAAGCGGGCGGGCGGGTCAATCGGTAAAACTGGTTGGGTTTAGGGAAGGAGGAGGGTGGGCCAGCCAATTGACTGGTCGCGCAGTCAATCAATTGGTCAATCAGACAGCGGCCTCTGGTGGGTTCACGCGAGAACAGCGCAGACACGAATGGCACTCGCGAGAGACATTTGAGATACGAAATAGCACACACAGCGGCCTCTCGCGGATTCGCAAAAAGAAAAACTGCAAAAATACGTACCTCGTGGGACATATTTTGTGGTCTCCAGAAACGTCCACGGAACTACGTTTTCAGAATGAGCCTGGGTTTATTAATAGATATAGCAATCTTGTTGATTGCATGACAATCAAATCCATATTCTAGCAACCATGTTTTCAGCATTATTTGTGTTTGTAAAACTCTTATGCTGTGTTAACACCAGACGCAGCACACGAGAATAAATAGCGAGTAAATAGACATGTAAACATTTTGAGTTTACCTGCCTTAATTGCTTGTCAAATTCACGTCACAATAGACGCGGATTCGCGTCATGGGCAGGGCATCTGTCTGCCCGGTGACTCTAGCTTCATTGCAAAATGGCTAACATGAATTTTCTTGAGAGAATAGCTGTGTTTATGCGCTTTAGAAAGGCTGAAAAACATTGGATATTTGTTCGTTTGTATAGTTATTGGATATTTGTAACTATACCAAATGATGGTGGCTTTCAGCGGTGCTTCTGACTTTAACCAAACCCAGTTTGATTAGCTGTTGTCAGTATCGGCAGGAGGACTTCCCCTCAGGACACCAACAGCAGGCACTCATCATAATGATGGCCCTACAAGAGAAAGCTCCTGATTGGTTAAAAAGCGTAAAATACTCAACTCACGCCGCTTCATTCGTACAAATCGCATCATTTGCGTTGCAGGATGTTTTTTCGCATCTTTGCATTGGCTTAACATGTAATTCACTCGCGCTTGACGCTTCATCTGCGTCTGGTGTGAACACAGCGTTGAGGTAAAATTTTCACAATTGTACTTATGGAAATGACAGTTAAGAGGCTTCATGCAACACTCAGCAGATTTTAAAGGTTTACTTAGGAGATATTAATCATTTAAGGAAAATTTTAAATGCTTTATGAAATTTCACTTAAAGAAATCCTTAAGGGTCAGTGGGGGCCGAATCGGAGCACTCACTCTGATCCCCTGGGCTCTGCGTTGGTTGGGGAAATTCCAAATAGAACCAAAACAAACGTTTCCATTACAACTGGCTTAAAATTGCCAATGAATATTTGGGACATTGCAACCTGCAGATCCTGGCAATTAAAAAAATAGGTCCCACTTTATATTAAGTGTCCTTAACTACTATGTACTTACATAAAAAATAAATACAATGTACTTACTGTGTTGATAATTTGAGAACACTTGTGGTGCTTTTGAGTTGGAATAGAGGTTGGGTTATGGACAGGTTTGGTGGCATGGATAGGTTTAGGGTGGGTTAAAGTGTAAGGGATGGTCAACAGTGTATTTACCAATGTAATTACAAAAGTTAATTACAGATGTAATTACATACATGTATTTAATCAAGCATAAGTACACAGTAAATACATGTATTTACACAATAAGTACATTGTAACAAACTATCAATTCCTATGTAAGTACACATTAGTTAAGGCCACAATATAAAGTGGGACCAAAAAAATAATAGGGTATATGCAGAAGTATGCTAAAGGACTTTTAATTTGACAGTAACCTGGCTTCAGCGTCTCCAGTGAACTGTATACCATTCCACTGGCTGAGGGATATCCGATATAAAGTGGGTCTCAGAAGCACAAGAAGCACTGCATTAAATTACATTTCCCCCGCAATGTCTTTATAATATAAGCATTTATTTTACCCCAGTATATTTAATGAAGCTTCAGCGCTAGCCTGCCGATTGTGACGGGCGCGTGCGAGTAAAAGGCTTTTTGTCTTGTTTTACGCTTGAGCAACTAAATGAATGCCAAAGTCTATTTAACTGATTGTATTTTAATTACATTACAACATCCATGCTGTAAAAGGAACCGTATAAAATGAAAAAAGTCACATTAACCGTTCACCGGAAGGTTATCAGTATGGGAAGAAACACTAGCTGGGCATATGCCCTGTAGAAAAAAAAAGACTCCCTTAAGTAACATTTAAGGGTTGTTCTAAACAACACCTCTACGTTTAAGAGAAACCTAAGGGCGATCTTAAGGAAAAATTACTCTTATGTGTTTTATGCAGCCAGTCATATTGTGCATGTGCACAAGTTTGTCTTGAAGTTTTTCAAATTCCTGCAGCCTTATTCCCAGGACAAACTTTTGAGAAGCTGGAGACCCAAGCATACTTATGTAGTTTGTCTGGATTGTGTATTTTCATAATAATCAATATAAATTGTTATATAATAGCTTTATAAAGTTTCATTCCCAGCTGCCAAATGCTGCCTGAGTGCAGGTCTTATACATTTGAGCTTCATGCTTTAGCGCACTGCTTTGTTGCAATGCTAACAGTAGCATAAATACATGCTGCTTACTGTTTTTGTTTTATTTTGTGCTGGAACTAGCTTACATAACTACTTCGGGTGCTCGGTGTCCTAAATCACGCAAAGTTTTATCCAGTGTTTGAGAGCTGCCAACTTTTATCCATTTGGTAATGTAAGATTAATCTCTTACATGAAAGCACGAGACTGCAGGCAACAGCTGGATCAGCGTTTACTGTATGAGTGCTGTCCCATGATGCCCTTTTAATGGTCAAAGACGTTTACAAGCATTTTACATCATTAAAGGCAGATGGTTTGTTGTGAGCAGTGTATGTTCCTGGGATTTGCATGTCAATTGTGGTGGATTTAGTTGACAGTATACACGGTATATTAACTTTATAATCAATTAATTTTATCCAGTTTACATGAGTAAAACTGTGTCAGAGTTACAGGGCTGTGTTGGTAAGAAGGGTGAATCTCACCACCGTCAAGATCATATTTCAGTCCAAAATTAAAATAATTCTGAATTTTGGACTGACTACATTTATATTATATTATATTATATTATATTATATTATATTATATTATATTATATTATATTATATTATATTATATTATATTATATTATATTATATTATATTATATTATATCATATTATATTATATTATATTATATTATAATAGTTACATTATATCATATTATATTAATTATATATTATATTATATTATATTATATTTTTATTACATTATATTATATTATATTATATTATGTAATATTTAATATTTATCATAATATATTATATTAGTTCGATTACATTATATTATAATATTCAGTATAGCATAATATAATATAATATATTATGACATTATATAATATGATGTAATAAAAATATATATTAAAATACAATATAATATAATATAAAATAATAAAATATAATTATATTTATTATAATATATTATATTAATTCGATTATATTATATTATAACATTTAGTATAATATAATATAATAAAATATTAAATAATATAACATAATATTTAGTATGATATGATATAATTTATATTGTATTATATTATATAATATAATATTATATTATATTATGTTATGTTATGTTATATTATATTATATTATATTATATTATATTATATTATATTTTATTATATTATATTATATTATGTTATGTTATATTATATTATATTATATTATATTATATTATATTATATTGTATTATATTATGTTATATTACATTACATTATATTATACATATAATTTTGGGGTAAAATTTAAATATTTTAATTATTTTTTTATTTTGTTTAGAGCAAATTATAATTCATTAGACTGTACAGCTTTTTCAGATAATATTTAATTTATATTATAATAAATAAAGTCAGCTTTATTGTACCAAATATTGATTTCACATCTCTTCTGATATTGAAACATTGGGTTTTGTCTAGTCTAAAAACATGGCAGCTTTTTTATTATTTTATGCAACAAAAAACTTAAAATGACAAATTTGAAATTACTGTAATGACTATGACCTTGTCATGTTTGGAGATTCATCAAGCTTGTAATACTCATATTCAAAGAAACACTCCTCATTTTTTTTAAACTAGCCTCATTTTACAGCTCTCCAAGA